TAGTCGGTATACCCTATTCTTGCTGCCTACTGCGAAAACCCATTTCAACGTAATGTCTCGCGTCGATAGAATATAAAAAATCCCCTGACATGCATGAATTTGACGTGAACATTTGTTGATGGAATCTATTCCGTTAACATGAACATGCACATCAATCTTGAATTGTGAATAGAACACGCTTCAAAAAGTTAAGCGTTATTTTTGTTGTTGTTGTTGTTGTTATTTATGCTGCATTTGCGATGCCCAGCGAAAATCAGCAACAAAAAAATGGCAACGGCGACTGCCGCCGTAGGGTTGAATAACTCTAGTATATTGAAAATAACATGTGTAAATAGATGTGTCTTCCTTTCTCATGACTGAACATATACGAGAGTGTGTGCTATCGTGTACAAATACCTGGAGTACCATACAAATTTCAAGCCATAGCATAAAGTTTATGTAGTACAAAAAATCATGATTTTCAGAGACAGATAGAGAGAGAGAAAGAAAAGGAAACAAAACGAATCAAGTGGAATGTGGGAAATGTTGGCAATACCTTCGGTTCTTTTTAGAAAAATTAATAGATAATTTTGATGGTATGTGTTTCAGGCAACCGCTTTCAAAAAAAACTTTATTTCAATAAAAATTAAGTTTGCTATCACACATGTTTGAGTTCCGGACAGTTCGGTTTGAGTAAAATGTGAATTATCTGTGAAGTAAGCAGTAAAAAACCGACATTCTGGAGCCATAATGCTACCTTGTGGTTTAAGCCCATTTATCTGTTGTTGTTTTTTTTTTCCTTGTACTCTTCGTCTTTACATTTCAAATGTGCATATTGTTCACTTCGATGATGGGTCTTTCTCTGATGTTTTTTTTACAACATTTGGAAAACAATTCATCTTCAACTCATAATAATACATCAAAAGCAATGAAATAATTAACAAAAGAGTTTTACACTGAAAATATCTTCATGAGATTCCGGACATTTTATTACGTTCAAGTATGAGTATATCAAGTATGAGTATATATTTGCAATAAGATCTAGTATGATTGACATTCTAATCTACTGAAAGGAATGCAATTTATGACATTTTTCCTATTTAATGAAGTGACATATCCAACATATGGTTTCAACTATTTCAAAAAAGGTTTTAATCTATTTTCAACATTTTTATAGACGACTGTAGTGCCACAAATTTTGAAAATATTACGTTAATGGTATTTTAAATCGCCATAGACCATAGGTTACTTGAAGTTGGGATGCTTTCTCCCATTCCTAAGAAAAATAAATGATGGTTTATGAGGATTAAATGAATTAAATTTGAATAAGTTTTTTATGAAGTTGTTCATGTTCAACTTTTATTTACTCAAAATGGAAGACGAGTTTTTATCTCAATTCATTCTAATTATTAATTAACAATTGAATGCTCTATAATAAAAACAGATTATTAAACAGTTCTATGATCAAAATAATAAGTTGTTGTTTAATAAGCAGATTTATTTGCGCCAAAAAAGTCGATTTCATTGTTTATTTTTCATACACGAATATATTCTTTTAACTTAATGATATATCTCGAAGTGTTTCTCTGAAATATGTAGAAGTGAATAAAATGTGTATTTTCTTTAAACATTTGCAAATAATACAAAACTGAATAAATAAACGAAACTCGTTTGATGCCAATCTTACATACGTAGTAACTGATAATCAAATAAGAAAATGATGTAGTAGGATGTTTGGGCACTGAATAATGTAAACGAAAAAAATCTTTTGTGATCATCTCAAGAGCCTTCCTATAAAAGACGAAGAAACTCTGAAAAATATCTCATTCATTATCAATTCATTGGAAGTTGAGCTTATATAAAAAGTTTGTATTCCACTATTCACATTTCTTGATACTCACAATTGAATCGTTGCGGCGAAAGAGTAGCTCTTATTTTTCTCCAAATAATACTGCAACATGAAGTTTTTTTCACACGGTTTATTTGTTGTAATACAACAAATAAACTATTCATAAAAAACCTTATGTTGCAGTATTATTTGGAGAAAAATAAGAGCTACTCTTTCGCCGCAACGATTCAATTAATAGTGATCGATATTGATAAAGAAGCCATAAGAAAACCATAGATTTATTGCCTAAATCGATAAAAAATAAAATTCACATATAGTTGGCGCTGTATTCTATGCAAACTTGTTTTCCGTTGCAACGGACTAAGTGGAAAGTATACGCTTATTAGATAGAATGTAGCGCCAACTATACGTGAATTTTATTTTTTTTATCATTTTAGGCAGTAATCTTATCGCTTCTTTTCTCTTTTAGTGCCTCGTTTGTTAATTACATTTTCAGTTTATTTCTTCGTGGTCACATTTGCCATTTTTTCCTCCGGGGTAAATTCAAACTCCCGATCAACTAAGTTGGCCCGCGAAAATGCCGAACCAACCGAATTTTCCCGTGAAATGTCGCAATTTTCGTCGAATTTGTATCAGGTGATTTTGAATTAAATTATTAGCAATTTTACCAAATGAATGATATATATTTCTCAATTGTAGCAATGTGCAAATTCAGCAGAAAATAAGAATATCATAATTTCGCCGTTCTCAATCTCAGCCGCGTTGACGCTTTTATCCCAAGCATCCGAAGGAACAACTTTTGATGAAATTAAAAGTAGCATGAGTTTGAGTGATGAAAAGGAAACGATTGCAAATCAATACTTGGAACATTATAAAGCACTTAGAAGCAGTGCGGGTATTTCATCATTTTCAGTTGCCAATCAAATCTATGTGCAAAGAGGTTATGCATTAAATAATGCATTTAAAAACAAAGCCGTTCAAAATTTCAAATCCGGCGTTCAAACGGTGAATTTTGCGAATAAAAATACCGTTCAAATTATCAATAATTTCGTTTCCAAAAAGACAAATGGAAAAATTAAACACCTACTCCAACGTGGTTCACTTCCTTCAAAGACTCGTTTTGTTTTGGTGAATGCCATTTACTTCATGGGAAGGTGGGAAAAGTAACTCTGGAATGGAAATACTCGTAAAGGAAACTTCAACGTAAGCGAGACGAAAAAATTTCAAGCCAATTTTATGCACATGAGTGATGAAATTCATTGTGCCGTTCTATCGGATTTGGACGCCAAAGCAATTCAGATGAAATATGCCAAATCTCACTTTTCGATGATAATTGTCTTACCCAATAGTCGCACCGGTTTGCCTGCATTAGAGAGCAAAATGGCCAATTACGATTTACAATCCATGAAATTTCATGATGAAGAAGGTGAAATCTGAATACCAACATTTAAAGCCGAATTTGAAATCAATTTGAATGATATTCTAAAGAATGTATGTCTTTGTTAAATTTCATAATTACCATTTGAGAATATTTTTTTCTAAATTTTTAGTTGGGAATTATTGAAATGTTCGGCGATGATGCGGACTTAAGTGGTCTTCTTAGGACAGACGAATCAATTAGTGTGACCGATGTGATTCACAAATCACATTAGAATTAGAATTTCCGAGGAAGGAACAGAAGCAGCTGCCGCAACTAGTAATTTCTTTCAATTTTAATTTATTCAATTTCTGTTATTTTTGAAATTATCTCCGTTGGTTTATATTATTCATTTCAGAAGTGAAAGGCGGAGGAGCAGAAGGACCCGAATGGTTCGAGTTTCGTGCGGATCATCCATTCATGTACTATATTTGGGATAATAATAGCAAATTTACCGTTTTTGCTGGCCGTATTACAAACTTCAAGTGAATAGCGCTGTTGTGTTGCGCAATACAAATTTAAAACAATTTGAATAAATTTATGTTTTTTCGAACTCATTACGCCTTGCTATGTTATTATTGTTTGACATCGACATTTGCGCTCAATAGCAGTGTTGGCAGCACTGACGTTCATTCTCTTTTCTCCGTATGTTTACAAAAAAGTAACTGACACTCAAGTATAAGTGACTTATAGGTATATAGTTTACATGGTATTTTTTATTGTATAAGGAAATGAAACGCATACATTTTTTTCCATCAAGACATTCTCAACGAATCAATTTCAAAAACAAGCATTTGTGATCGGTATGGATCAGTGGCGACAGTGTGATGATGACAGTTGTGAGACATATCAAATCGAATCAAAATTATTCTTAGTGGGTTTTTTTTCTCACAAATATAAACACATATAAACATTCATATGAAAATGAAATAGTTGTTCTTTGTGCTGACGAATTTTGAATTTTGTTGTATTCACACAGTGTATTCAGTTGTTCTCATTATAACCATGGTTTTCGAGATGAATTTTGCCGTCGTCATTTTGCATTTGATTCCTTTTTTGTTTTCAAATTTAAGAACATTTGTAAAATGACGACTGCAAAATTCATCGGCTTAATCAGTAGTTCATGGATGTTACTTACCCACCACAACGATTTTAAGCACCAATGATATTTTT